TACAGAGGACTAGGTCAGAGAAGTAGAGAAAAGCAGAATGAGGTAGTGTAACAGAAGGAGCTGGATACAGAGGACTAGGTCAGAGAAGTGGAGAAAAGCAGAATGAGGTAGTGTAACAGAAGGAACTGGATACAGAGGACTAGGTCATAGAAGTGGAGTAAAGCAGAATGTGGTTGTGTAACAGAAAGAGCTGGATACAGAGGACTAGGTCAGAGAAGTGGAGTAAAGCAGAATGAGGTAGTGTAACAGAAGGAGCTGGATACAGAGGACTAGGTCAGAGAAGTAGAGAAAAGCAGAATGAGGTAGTGTAACAGAAAGAGCTGGATACAGAGGACTAGGTCAGAGAAGTAGAGAAAAGCAGAATGAGGTAGTGTAACAGAAAGAGCTGGATACAGAGGACTAGGTCAGAGAAGTAGAGAAAAGCAGTATGAGGAAGTGTAACAGAAAGAGCTGGATACAGAGGACTAGGTCAGAGAAGTGGAGAAAAGCAGAATGAGGTAGTGTAACAGAGTGGAGAAAAGCAGAATGAGGTAGTGTTACACAGAAAGGGCTGGATACAGAGGACTAGGTCAGAGAAGTAGAGAAAAGCAGAATGAGGTAGTGTAACAGAAGGAGCTGGATACAGAGGACTAGGTCAGAGAAGTGGAGAAAAGCAGAATGAGGTAGTGTAACAGAGTGGAGAAAAGCAGAATGAGGTAGTGTTACACAGAAAGGGCTGGATACAGAGGACTAGGTCAGAGAAGTAGAGAAAAGCAGAATGAGGTAGTGTAACAGAAGGAGCTGGATACAGAGGACTAGGTCAGAGAAGTGGAGAAAAGCAGAATGAGGTAGTGTAACAGAAGGAGCTGGATACAGAGGACTAGGTCAGAGAAGTAGAGAAAAGCAGAATGAGGTAGTGTAACAGAAGGAGCTGGATACAGAGGACTAGGTCAGAGAAGTAGAGAAAAGCAGAATGAGGTAGTGTAACAGAAAGAGCTGGATACAGAGGACTAGGTCAGAGAAGTGGAGTAAAGCAGAATGAGGTAGTGTAACAGAAAGAGCTGGATACAGAGGACTAGGTCAGAGAAGTAGAGAAAAGCAGAATGAGGTAGTGTAACAGAAGGAGCTGGATACAGAGGACTAGGTCAGAGAAGTGGAGAAAAGCAGAATGAGGTAGTGTAACAGAAGGAGCTGGATACAGAGGACTAGGTCAGAGAAGTAGAGAAAAGCAGAATGAGGTAGTGTAACAGAAGGAGCTGGATACAGAGGACTAGGTCAGAGAAGTAGAGAAAAGCAGAATGAGGTAGTGTAACAGAAGGAGCTGGATACAGAGGACTAGGTCAGAGAAGTGGAGAAAAGCAGAATGAGGTAGTGTAACAGAAGGAGCTGGATACAGAGGACTAGGTCAGAGAAGTAGAGAAAAGCAGAATGAGGTAGTGTAACAGAAGGAGCTGGATACAGAGGACTAGGTCAGAGAAGTAGAGAAAAGCAGAATGAGGTAGTGTAACAGAAAGAGCTGGATACAGAGGACTAGGTCAGAGAAGTGGAGTAAAGCAGAATGAGGTAGTGTAACAGAAGGAGCTGGATACAGAGGACTAGGTCAGAGAAGTAGAGAAAAGCAGAATGAGGTAGTGTAACAGAAGGAGCTGGATACAGAGGACTAGGTCAGAGAAGTAGAGAAAAGCAGAATGAGGTAGTGTAACAGAAAGAGCTGGATACAGAGGACTAGGTCAGAGAAGTGGAGTAAAGCAGAATGAGGTAGTGTAACAGAAAGAGCTGGATACAGAGGACTAGGTCAGAGAAGTAGAGAAAAGCAGAATGAGATAGTGTAACAGAAAGAGCTGGATACAAAGGACTAGGTCAGAGAAGTGGAGACAAGAAGAATGAGGTAGTGTAACAGAAAGAGATGGACACAGAGGACTAGGTCAGAGAAGTGGAGTAAAGCAGAATGAGGTAGTGTATCACAGAAAAACCTGGATACAGAGGACTAGGTCAGAGAAGTGGAGACAAGAAGAATGAGGTAGTGTATCACAGAAAGAGATGGACACAGAGGACTAGGTCAGAGAAGTGGAGAAAAGCAGAATGAGGTAGTGTATCACAGAAGCTTTAGGGCGTTAGTAATCAGAAGACCACAACTGTTCAGCCCAAGGTGTGGGTGCGTGGAGACTTATTTATACGATTTCCCAGAGGTTTGCTTAAATATACTTGTCTCCCACAGGCCGGGGTAAAAACAAAGGCTTGCTCTCAGACTGTAGTTTGCCTTGTTTCTGCGTGGTGGGAAACTGTGACTTTGGTTTTGCTTTGGGGTCCAATAGCTTTGCTTTGCAGGGCTTACATGTATTCAGACAGTTATGAGAATATTGTGCGAAAATTTAGTGTGATGTTGAGTAACAAAACTCTGTACTCGACTTATGAGGTCATTCTACAGTTTGTGAAACAGACTTGCGACGGTAGCGTTGACATTGTAAAGCGTAATTGGTTACATGCATGACTATCGAAGACAACAACACAAAATACATATACATCTTGCTTTATTTTTCCCACCTCTTTTACTCGCACAACTTTTGAATCTCTGTACAAATCTTGCAAATTATACTTGTGTACTCTTTACACGTGTATGTTATGAGACGTCGAAGCTAGTAACATTGACAGCGCGTGTGTAATCTTTCTTCATTTAGCAGTGCTTTGCTAACAAATTATCCCATAGGCGGTTTTTACGTCTTTTTTCATATTAACGAATAACAGCAACAAGTTTTGAATAAGAAGACCTTGGTTTGAAAGTGAGATCACCCCCCCCACACACACACACACACACACACACACCCCACCCCACCCCACCCCACCCCCGACACCCCCTGACATGTCATAATAAAGCAGAGTAACCATTCTCATAAACGTCATATTCAAATACTGACCAGGTTCATGTGCAGTTTGTGTTGTTGAGAAGGAATTTTCGCCACCAGAACATCAAAAACGGTCAATAAATAAGGACAACAGACATCCATTCACTAATTTCTCTCTGTCCAAAACTTATAACTCAGTGTAAGTGAAAGTTTGTTTTAATGAAAATATCGCCTTTCATCGTGTTCTATTATAAGTCTCCGATCCATCTTTTCTTGTGAAAACGTTGTTGTAAATATGTTTAGGGTCGGGTACTTTAAGTGGTTATCACTTTTACCCTGTCCTTTTCACCTAACGTGAATAAAATCTCAAACATGTCCTCACAGAACAAAGGTTTTCAGGGTTTCAGATCGAAAATGTCCAAATGATATCTTTTTCAAATTTTGGCAATAAAGACTCGGCCGATATCCGGTTATATACAGTTGAAAATTGTACCATCATATAAATGTGATAAAATCAGGAAAGTGTCCATATGCCATTTGTGTCTGAGCACTCACTCACTCACTCACTCACTGTAACTGAAATCTGATAACGGAATTCTCGCCATTGCAGCCACACTAAACATTTGAACACATAATTTTCCCATTATTTTCTTAACAATCTGATTTCAAGAAAATCGAGTTATTAAAAACTAGAATTGAAAATTTCTAACAAACTGTTCATTTGGGGCATATTTCTGAAGAAACGACTCCCACACATCCATAGAAATTAAATGAGAGAGTGAGTTGGGTTTAACGCCGCTTTTAACAGTATTCCAGTTATATCACGGCATGTCAGCTTGATGTGGGAGGAAAGCCCGAAGTGATGCAGGTCTCAGACGTTTTCCACTTCGGTGAAACCCACGAGCACAGGTATGGTGCTGACAAACCTAGAAACATAATTGGGGCGAACCGGGATTCGAATCCACAATCATAGGTTTCTTGCGTGCCCAAGGGACGCAACTCTGCACAGCGAAACCGTGGAGCCTTAGATGACTGGGCCACCCGTGCCCCCTCTCTTGAACAGGAGTGATAGGCACAAATATTCACAGCATATAACAGGGTTTTACTCGACGCACAAATGTAGAGAACCGCTGCAGAAACAAATTACACTGCATCTCAAGGGACACACAATAACATTCACCGTACTTACAGCGCATCAAGACCAGTGATGAGTATCTGTTTTTTCATTCTTCAATCCTGACCACTGTCAACATGATCAGTGATTCATTCCAGGCTCTAAAGTAATTATCTAAATGTACAGTACACTACATCATGACAATACTTTACAGGACCCTCGTGTTACCTGCAAGGACTCTTAAAATTAATTATTAGGGGTCCTCTGAACCCCACTTTTGTCAGTCAAGGTAAAACCCTGATATAGCCAATGCAACATACATAGCACATTTATATTACTTAGAGATTAACCTATTAACAAGGAATTACAGATTGTCGGTCCCGAGGGAATTAAGTTCCAAGCCTCGGTGAATGACTTTCAACATTATTTCACCTAAGACATAATCCTTAACTCTGCGATGCAATTAGGATATTCTTGAATGGCTGCGCCTTAGACGACTGGGCCACCCGTGCCCCCACAAATGAAATGGTTGGTTGGTTGGTTGGTTTGTTGTTTAACGCCGCACTCAGCAATATTGCAGCTATATGACGGCGGTCTGTAAATAATCGAGTCTGGACCAGACAATACAGTGATTGATATCATGAGCATCAACCAACGCAACTGGGATTGATGCCCGTGCATCAACCAAGTCAACGAGATCGACCACCCGATCCCGTTAGTCGCCTTTTACGACAAGCATAGTCGCCTTTTACGACAAACATAGTCGCCTTTTACGGCAAGCATGGGTTGCTGAAGACCTATTCTACCCCGAAATCTTCACGGGTCCAGAAATGAAATGGATGCTCCCTGACAAAGTATTGAGTTTGAAGACAGAATAAATATGTATTTTGAAAAGAAATATCTATGACAGAATTATTGCATTCTAAATAGTCTTAAACTAATTATTCTCTGCCAACCTATGTTTATCGCATGATTGTAACTTTGTTCATGAATTTCTTCTTATTTCTATGAGTATATGATTCAGGGGCGGATAACTCTGGGAGTTATTTTTACTTCCGGTTTATTTTCCGTGAAAGAAGATGAATCTGGTTAACCTGTTTCAAGTTTTGTAAGGTATTGTAAGCTGTTCATATCATGTGTCATAGATAGCGCGATTGGCACGTCGCTGAAGATCACACATCCTACCTGGAACAGTTTCTAAGTAAGAGGACAATTAAATGAAAAAGCCCACTCCATTATTCCAAAGTTCAGTCAGTGAAAAAAAACTTGTAAATGTGTCTTCAGTATTCACAGCTGAGTCTTTTCATTGCGCTGTCGACAAACTGTCAGTGGGGCTTCTCATCAACACTGATATAGGACAACCGAAAGAGTAACAGTACTTTTGAACAACTTGCCTTGACTTGACATACATATTGAAAATGGTTACCATATGAACAAACTCAATGCACAGTGTGATGAACAGTCTAACCTCATTTCCCCAAATCAACGTATTAACTTCAACTGACGCCCCCAAGCCTCTCATGTCCGATCATTTTGTTTTGTTTTTTTGTTGTTGAAAAGAGTATTTTTAATATTAATGAAGTGAAAAGTGGCAAACTATAAAAATTATGACATTTATTATCAAGCTCATGATGAAATGACATTCACTCAATCAAAGATGGATCCAAAGTATTCTTGTTGGCACACTGAGATTGCAGTTGGCACAAATTAGGATCTTAGATCGATGTACCTCATGGCACTCTTGAAACTCGAACTCCCTCTCCATCACTGATGTTCTTAAGCTACACTCATAGCCCATCTATTTCTTCCCTTTTCTGCCCTGATATCATCCCCGCTACTACTAGGGATGCTAGATTATTTAAGTTAATTGTATCCTTCAGAATCATAATAATCTAATCATGGTAATTGTAACTTGTATATGAAGTGTATTCGTTTCTCAATTAATGTTTGCTGATTCCAGATCTGCCTCAGGAGCAGTGTCTACAGCATCAGTGAGGCTGGACTCAATATGGAGAAGTGTTCAGTGTGCAAGAAGAAATTTTACTCAACCGAAGCATTTAAATTCCATCTGAAAACACACACTGTAACTAACAGTCTGCAGTGTGTTGAATGCAAGAAAACCTTCTCTCAATACAAACACTTTGAAGTTCATCAGAGAATACATTTCTTAGAAAATCAATTGAAGTCCAAGACACGTTCGCAAATAAGCGAGAAGACTTTTCAATGTTCAATATGTTTCAAAGGGTTTTCCTTGCTGAAGCAGCTAGAGGCACACAAGCGTATACACGTGCTGGAGAAAAGATTCTTCAAATGCACTGTGTGTGGGATCATTTTCACTCAGCCTCATATTCTAAGGTCTCACATGGAAATCCACAAAACTGCCAATTTGTTTGTTTGCAAGGCCTGCGACAGAACTTTCACCAAAGCGGATGAGCTGTTGACCCACATGAAGTCACATCCTGTTGTGGTGGTCAGTCCACCGCCAAAGTGTGACCTCTGTGGAAAGTACACGACTAACATGAAAAACCACATGAATCTTATGCACCCCAAGAGCGAGGAGACATTCATTTGTGGAGTCTGTGGGATGAAATTCAACCAGTGTGCAAAACTGGAAGTCCACATGAAGATTCACACAGAGTATCGATTGAAGAAGTGTCATGTGTGTGGTGAAGGGTTTAAGAGGGCGGCAGCACTTCGAAAGCATACACTGACTCATATGAAGGAGAAGATGTTTGGTTGTAAGATTTGTGGACGTACAATGACAAAATTGCCAATTTTTATTTGTCATGTGCGAATCCATACTGGAGAGAGGCCTCATGAATGCAAAGTTTGCGGGGAAAGATTCCGATTTTCCAGCACCTTGTTCTACCACATGCAAGCTCACGTCGGAGAGAGGCCGCATTCATGTGCAATATGCGAGAAAAGGTTTATCCATATGAGGCATCTAACAAAACATATGTCAACAATGCATGTCAAAAAGACAAGCTCTGACCCAACACCGACTCAGGGTTCATGGTGGCAAATGCAACACAAAACAAGCCTTTATTCCAAAAGTTTGAAATTTACTTTGAAAAAAATTCAAATCAGTGAGAGAAAGACCAGAAACAAACAGAGACATTCTCCATGTTCCGCCCAGTGTCAAATGTGTGAGAAGACATTTCTCAACTTGGACCGTCTCAATTTCCATTTGAGAAATTTGCATCCAGAAGTGAAATTTAATTATGATGATTCCTCTTTCACTTGTATGCTGTGCCAGAGGACATTCCAAACCAACAAGACCTTCAGCTATCATATGGACAAGATTCATGAAATTGGACGAGTGAGTGAAAGGCTGAAAGGGAGACGATTTCAGTGTGACGTCTGTGAAAAGTTGTGTGGCAGCAAGGCATCTTTGACCAAACACGCATCAAAACATAAATTGGACTTTTCCTATACATGTGGCGTGTGTGGAGGACATTTTCCTTGTTGTGAAGTGCTGACTCAGCACATGGAACTGGAACATTTTGATAAGGATCATGTTGATGCCACAGAAGGTGCTGACTGATCATGCTGACCTGCTTATTGATGTACCGTATTCGACGTAATAAGCGCCCCGCTCTAATAAGCGCCCACGGCGATATTTGCTAATATATTGGCTAGTGAACAATCCCAATTAGCACCCCTTCCGATTGATCAATGTACACAAGACTTATTGATTCGCTTTATAATATGCACTCGTGTGATATATGCACCCTTAATTATCGGTAATTAAATTCTGGTAAAAATATATCTGTCGTATATAAACATTTCATGCTGTCAGCATAAACCTCGAAATTTATCTTTTAACTCTGTTTGTTTTTTCACCAAAATAATTTTCTAATAAGAGCCCCCTATTTCTAATTTTGAGAGTGCCCTGGGCGCTTATTACGTCAAACACGGTATGTGCAATTATTCCATTGTGATAAGGCCATGGCAAACAAGGTTCTTCCTCATTAAAATCAGATCTGAGTTCTTGCTATAGCCAAATGGGGATCTGAGGGCATCGGATTCCCATTACGGGTCACGTCAGAACGACCTTTCATCTGACTAATCAGGGCGTCGCTTACTAGATAGGAAAGTGACAGTAGGATGTTTTTTTTCTAAACATGCAACCTTGAAAAGGTTAACCAGGGTATTCCAAACAACATTTACGGGCTGCATGACTGGTTTTGTCAAAATCATGATCTATCTCTCGCTTCAATGGGATAAACATTAGAAACAGAAGAATCTTTCAATAGCTCGTGGGAAGTACTGCCATACAATATCATTCATCTATTTGACATTCCAGAATTTTGTTTTGTTCATTTTTCATATTTTGAATCAATATTTTTCAAACTGAGTCTGGAATGGAAGTGGCGTGTTTGGAACAAGTGCCTGAAGCTCAAAAACGCTGCTTTCTGATTGGCTAGTGTTGACTTCTTGTTAGTCATTTCATTGGTTGGTGAAAGGTCATTGTGATGTTACCTGTAATTGGATGTCCTCAGATCTTTGTTGGGCGTTAGCAAGAACATGAAGAACAGAGATATGATTTTAATGAGATTGCCCTAGAAATATATTTTCAAAATGACAATGTCACCAGGCCTCTTTTCCCATTTTTAGCTCACTTGACTGGAAGTCAAGTTGGATAATGTCATGGTGTGCTGTCCATCATCCGTCCGGTGTCTGTCCAAAGTTAACTTTTGCATTTTCTGTATCTTTTAGACGTCTTTTGCACAATTTGATTTTTGATCAAGTTGTGACCATTAACTTTCACATACCCATGGTGTTTTTAGTGTTACCGCATTACGTCATCTCTCCATATTTTAGGAACCCTTTAACATGTTTAATGGCTAATGATCGTCCATCTTTTTTTCAAAATGTATTGAAATTTGGCATTGGTGTAATGCGGCCCAAATTTTTTTGCAATATTATGATTTTTTACCTTGATTTAACCATTACAGCATAATAGTTGTTTTAAAGTAGGTGCAAAATTGGAAAGCCCTAGTTTTGACACAACCACACACAAGCCCGCCCTCTTTCATCAAATGATGTGGATACATTAAACATCAACCGCAAAGAGTAGCTTTTTGTATATGGTTGCCATGCAAACCAAACTTGATTTTGGAAAGAAATGGTTCGAGCAATATTAGCAGAAGCTGTCAGTAGGATGGTCCAGGGAAAGTATCACCATCCTGCATCTTTTCGTGTAAGAGAGACCGCCTCCGTGGTCTAGTGGTAGAGCATCCACCCGGAGAGCGGAAGGTCCGGGGTTCGATCCCCGGCCGCATCATACCAAAAGACGTTAAAAGACGTTGTTACCCTGTCTGGCCCTCGACATTAAGGGGCTAAAACAAGGACTGGTCGGCTCGGAGTCAGTATACTGTGTCTGAGTGGGATATTCATGTTAAACTGCGGCATGGTATCTCAGTGAGCTAGCACTATAAATTGGCATCAGTCTGGACTAGTACAAGCAGCCTCACACACACACACACACACACGTACATGCACATCGCTATATAAGTGCAATAATCTTGGACGCGATGTTAAACCCCATTTCACCTCACCTCATGTAGGAGAAAAATAGCAAAACAAATCTCAGTGGGCCCAATCTTAACACAGTTGGCGAAACAGCCATTGCTTCAGGCTACAGCACTGCAAAGTGAGGTATCTATTTGTGATTGACCACTTAAAAGGTACATGACTCTGTGACCCCAGCCTTTTCAGCTGAAAGATCTTCACGTTTATAGCATGTTCTAAAATATCATCTCTGATACTCCTTAACTTATGAAGCTGAAATTTGGCATACGGGTTCCTTCTTGTTGTTTAACACCACACTCAGAAATATTCCAGCTATATGACAGCGGTCTGGAAATAATCGAGTGTGTACCAGTGATTAACATCATGAGCATCGATCCACGTAATTGGGATACGATGACATGCGTCCATCAAGTCAGCTAGCCTGACCACCCGATCCCGTTAGTCGCCTCTTACGACAAGTATGGGTTGCTGAAGACCTATTCTACCCCGGATCTTCATGGGTCCAACTTCGACATTGTAAGAAAACTACTTACTGATTTGTTACATTGAGTGACATTTTGATACCCGGATCTTCATGGGGTAACACATCAATGTGATTTTATTGTAATTTTCTTAAAAATTGAAAACTTTCAAAATGTTTATGATTCTTATGCTTAAGAACCACAGGGCACTTTGAATGAACTATAAGTTCAAAGTTTGTTCAAGGCATCACGCCGTCATCAATACAAATATATTTATTTTGTTTCCTAGAATCTTTTGCCCCAATTTTTCTTTAACTTAGTTTAGACTGTTGTACCAAAATAAGGTTCAAGTGTCATAATATTATGATGAGTCATGTGAGCTAAAGAGCTTTGTGGTATTTATTTGTCAATTGACCTTTAACTCATTCAAACAGGTTAGCAGCCATAGCTGCTTGCTTTTGGCATGGAAAGATAATCTAATCTATCTTGTCATTTACGACTAAAAAAAATAATAGTCTTCGTTCTCTGGAACCGCCCGCATCATCATAAAGTCTGACGCACATTTTGTTTTTATTTCCATTTTAAATTATTATTTTTTTAAATCTTAAATCTGAAAAAAAAATGTGATCCAATATAGCACACAGTTACTTCCCTTTACATGCACACTGCTTTACTGCGCATCTTGTTATGGTCATGGTAGCAATAGGAGTTTGTATGCTTGTTTATGTAGGGAGGCCCTTTCCCAGGTTGATGGTACACAACTGTTTATTTGGTTACATACAAGTTTGAACAAGCAAAAAAGTCATTGCCTGAGAACCAATTCTTTTACGTTTTTAAGCTTTTTTTATAGGACAAAACCAAAATATGTTTTTGCTTATCCAGCGAATTATATATCTCCATCCTCTTATGATGTATACCCTGAACCCTTAGTTTAGCTGCCATAGTTTTGTATGAAGCTGTATTAACAGTGATTAAAATGATATGATGCTGAAAATAGCTGCTTGATCAAATTACGCTCATGAGTGAAAGAAATTCTAACGCACAAGGCAGATGTGACCCATTTGTCCGACTCTGCAGTTCCCTTTACCTAGTTTTGTTGACGAGTCTCATGTAGAATTAACTTCACTTCACTCATAACTGGAATATCATCATGGAATATGTGGGAAGGGGCATCAGGTAGCTGTGCAGAGTTGTAGCCCTTGGGTGGGCCAGGATCCTATGATGATGGATCCGATCGTCCATAATAATAAACCCACCTGATGTACAGTAATAATGTTTAATGGTTTGTCAGCACCATACCCGTGCTCGTGTTTCACCTAGGGGGTAAACATCTCAGATCTGCATCCCTTTCAGCTTTCCTCTCACTTAAGACGGACATGTCGTCACATGACTGAAATACTGCTCAAAATGGTAAAACCTCACATAAAATGCAACAAAACTTACATTCACCGACATTTATTATGCCATCAACAATAGTCGATTTTCTTCTCAAAGGAAGCTTCACTCGGTAGAAGATTGAACATTCTCTCACCTGTCCTTATGCTGTACAGACTTGCATTCTTTCATGTCTGAATTTGATGATTCGTGGTTCTTAGTTTGTCAGCACGAAACCCACATATTGATGAAGCCATTAACACGCCTTGATAAAACTGAAGTAGTGTTCAGAACTGCTTATTACCAACTCACTCACTGTCGGCCTTATTCTCATGTCATACCGGTGTGTGCGGCCTTGATTTATCAGGGATTCATTCTCAGGCTGTGATCTTGGTGCTGCTGCTGCTGCTGCAGAGTGTAGAGAACAGTGACTGTATATTTTCTCTGCCTTGATCAATATTTGTCAACGAGTACCAATATGTTGCCTTCATTTTGTTTTGGCCTGGGACTGTACATATTCACAGGCCTAGAAAACTAGGGGTGCAGGAGAGCCCAATAACTAATTTTAAGTGTACATACAGGAAATATGAGGGTCTTGTAAAGTAATGAAATGGTGAAGTGTACTGTGGTGTAAGATTTGTTTAGTACTTTTAATCCAGGACCTTCATATTTCTTGTAAACAATTTGGTACACTGAATAATGTTGTGTGTCACTTGGGACTCAATATCCTTTTTTCTGTCCATTCTATACATTAGTGTGTTCTGAATGCATATTTCTGTGTTGCGTAAAACCCTGTATTCATGATATCAGGGGCACCAAATTAGTTTCTTTAAATGACACCAGTGGAGTGTGAGTGAATTGGGTTTAACGCCGCTTTTAACACTATTCGAGTTATATCACGGTGTGTCAGCTTAATGTGGGAGGAAAGCCCGAAGTGTTGCAGGTCTCAGACGTTTACCACTTCGGTGAAACCCACGAGCACAGGTATGGTGCTGACAAACCTAGAAACATAATCGGGGTGAACCGGGAATCAAACCCACAATCAATGGATGCAACTCTGCACGGCGAACATTCCAGGCACCTTAGACTTAGACGACTGGGCCACCCTTGCCCCCGACACCAGTGGAGTATCAGCTAGGGAAGTCAGGGTTGACATGGATTTCACCTTTTTTTTTATTCTTTAAATGTGAGGACCGCCTCTGTGGTTGTGAGAACTGCCTATGTGGTCTTGTGGTAGTGCGTCAGTCCAGAAAGCAAAAGGTCCTGGGTTCGTTCCCCAGCTGCCTCAAACCAAAAGATGTTAAGAGATGGTGCTTGTTGTTACCCTGCCTGACGCTCGGCATTAAGGGGCTGAAAAAAAACCCAAGTACTGACCCAGAATACTGAGTGGGGTATTCATGTTAGTCAGCGGCTTCGTATCTCAGTGGGCTAGCACTATTAAGCTGGCATTAGTCTGGATTAAGCAAGCAGACACACACATGTGCATGCAGGTCACTACGTAAGTGCAATAATCTTGGACACAATGTTAAACCCAAAATTTTGCCTCGCCTCTTTTAATGTGGCGTTCAGGCAAGATACAAGACAAAGGTACTAGCATCTGTGCACTCATAATGGTTGTTGCAGGTACCAGCACTTGTACCGAAATGTGAAAATGAAGAAGGTGAAATCCATAAGTATGTGTTTGGTGGGGGAGGCATGGAGGGCCCAGTCGTCCAAATTAGTTGTGCAGAGTTACCTCCCTTGCACATGCCAGAAACTTGTGGGTTCGAATCCCGGTTCACCCAGATTATGTTTCTAGATTTGTCAGCACCATACCTATGCTTGTTGTTGCGCCAAAGGGGTAAATGTCCAAGACATGGATCCCTTTGGGGGGTTAAACCCAACTCACTCACTCACTAAGTATGTCATTGTCAACCCTGTCAAAATAAGTTGTTCTGTTTGAACAATTTAGTTTGTTGTTTGTATGTTTTATGCTGCACATATTTTAAACTTAAGAAAAGTCATTAAATTTTCCTGTTTTCAAACTCAAATGTTAAAAATTTCGAAGAAAAAATGGAAATGTAACTATCAGCAGGTGATCAGGTGTACCTACCTTTCATAAACAAGATGAAAACAATTTGCTCCTACTTTTCATAAGCTCAAGGCCAGACTTTTTGGGTGTTTTTTTATACAGATTTTGGGTCCCAAAAGTTTTTAAAAAAAATAATAACTAATTTCCTCAAAATATATTTTTAAAGATAAATTTCAACAGTTTTTAATTACAGTATTTTGAATAATGTATTAGAACTGATAGCGACAGTAAGTGGTCTTTTTACAGATTACTTAATTCTGGTCAGCAAATTAAAAACAAAAACAAATGGCTGATTCATAAACCAAGTTAAACAAAAAGAAGTCTGGCCTCATCAGGATGATGACAGTCCAACTGAAATCATCTGGATTAAGGAATGATTGTAACAATGTTGTGTTGCTTCTATTGATGAAGCTGTTCCTGGCAGTAATGTCTGGAAAGCGATGTTTCTGAACCAGACTAACAAAGTACAATTTTTCGATGGACTTAGTTGAACACTTGTCATCCCTTAAAGATTAAGAAGCTGCAAAAAGATATTTTTACTGTAAGAGATGGTGTATGTACATACATGCAAGTAGAGCAATAATAATATTAATATGTATTAATATTAATATGTATTAAACTTAATATATTAAACTGATATTTTCTTTTGGATTTAGGTCATTTGTAATACCCATATGCCAGATAACACATCCGACAGAATGCATGGATAAAATCTGCAATAAAACTGTGATATTCTTTTACTGGATGTTTTGCTTATTACTCTCACATTCGTGTAAATTCTGATGCTGATCATTATCTTATTGTCAGATTATTACCCTGATGTATGGCACAGTAAAGATAACTCCCCCTTTATATGAATCATAGCAATTGAATACATTGTATTGTACCATGCCTTGACAAAGTGCAAGTGAGAATGCAAATAAAGATATTTCTACGACCCATGTATCTTCTTGTCTTGCTTAGACCCGTGAAGATCCGGGGTAGGTCTTCAGCAACCCCATCTTCCCAAGGCAAGAGAGTTAACTGACTTTAAAAGTCCAGTTTCCACCCTTGCCGAACTAGGCAGGAATTCCTGGGTTCGATCGTAGCGCCACCAGTGGCTATTACGAGTTATGTCCTTTCTATGCGTCTCATATTGACCAATCAGATTCAACCTCTCGTTACACTTACATTTGCTTCTAACAAAACGGTGGCGCCCAGTCAAGACAATCTGATCGATAATCAAGATCTATATTGCGATAAAACGAGTCTTACATCGCGAAGTGCATCAAATCACGTGAGCACCTTGATTAAAAGCATGAAAAGATTTAGAAAATATCTGTTGACAACGAGTTAGCGGTGCACATGTTTTGCAAATCCTGCAGTCGACCGAAATCTGCATGACACTTTACGAACCGGATTTCGATTTCAGTGCGCGATTTTGATTGGACTATGCATAGACTCGTTAGTCCAGCCAAAATGTAACTCCATAGTACCAGCCTAGTTCGGCAAGGGTGGAAACTGGACTTTTATAGTCAGTTAACTCCCTTGCCTCGGGAAGATGCAGCAACCCATGCTTGCTGTAAAAGGCGACTATGCTTGTCATACAAGGCGACTAATGGGATCGGTTGGTCAGGCTCGCTGACTTGGTTGATGCATGTCATTGATCCCAAATGGGTGGATCGATGCTCATGATGTCTATCACTGGGTTGTCTGGTCCAGACTCAATTATTTACAGACCGCCGTCATATAGCTGGAATATTGATGAGTGCGGCGTTAAACAACAAACAAATCTTGTTTTGCTCCCTAACCAGGACCTATTTCACACTGACAAATTTGACGTTTTATTTGTTTGTTGTTTAACGCTGCACTCAGCAATATTTCAGCTATATGACGGAGGTCTGTAAATAATTGAGTCTGGACCAGACAACCCAGTGATTGATATCATAAGCAAATTAAGCCCCTTTAATCGCCTCTTACGACAAGCATGGGTTGCTGAAGACCTATTCTACCCCGGATCTTCACGGGTCCAACTTCGACTGTAAGAAAACTACTTTACGGATAACAACTTCTGGTTTGTTACATTGTGTGATGTTTTGATGCAGATTCTTACACCGTTATCAAGACAGAGGGCGCTGGTGTGCAGAGATCCACTGACAATGGACTTAATTCCAAGATTCTGCCACATTATGATTCTTGGTTTGTTGTTCAAAGCTACACTCAGCAATATTCCAGCAACATGAAGGCAATCTGGAAATAATCGAGTCTGGGCCAGACAATACAGTGATTGACATCATGAGCAACAATTTACACAACTGGGACATGATGACATGCATCAACCAAATCAACAAGTCTGACCACCAGAAGTCAATAATAGCCTTACAACAAACAGGCTGGAGAAAAATCAAAACCCGGATCTTCACAGGTTGTGTTTTTCTTGGCTATTAGCACCATACCATCGTAAATTCTTTAAGTTATTCAAATCCTCCCTATTTACCCATTTGGTTCTGAAAACAACTCATGAGAATAATTGGTCTGAGATATGCAGAGTCATATAATTGTGTGGCAATGTCAATGTACCAGAAGACTGAATGCATCTTCCAACGAACTCAGCTTTCTTTATGTTCTTCAGTACATTCGCCCATAACATGCATTAGGCCTATGCCCACAAGTTCAGAACTCAATACACAGGTGAAAAAGGACAAAGGACAATCATTTTAATTTTTTTTTCTACTTTTGTCTTCCTGGCATAATTTATCATCATCATGTTCAAAATCTTCTGGCAAACTGGCTCTCACTTTACATATATACTGGCTTTCTTTTCATGTATGATATATTTCAAGTATTCATTCTGCTCCTGAAGTTTTCGGTTTTCATCCTTTAACTCAGAAATTTCGATTTTGGCTAATTTCATCTCCTCAGAGTCTGACGCTCCCTCCCTGTCTTCAGCAACGTCACGCTCTGGGTCAGCATCTGTCACACCTGCATCCGTAGCAAATGAAGCACTCAGCTCCAAAAGACTCAAGGCAGCTTCAGTAACTGTTTTGAATTTATTCCTCTTCTGCAGATGGTCATATCTCACTGCACTTTTAGATGGAGATTTAGCAACACCATTCCCCAAGTTCTTGCTTGGTACCCAGTCTGGATTGGTTTCATCATACAGTTTAGCCGGTTTTCCTTAAATGGAAAAAAAACCTCAAAACATATAGGCTACAGAGGATCATGAGATATAAGTTTCTCAACTTTAAAAACTCATTTTAAAATCAAATCAATTTATAAACACAATTAATCTTAATAAAATCAATCAGTTCAAGTATGATAGAAAATAAACAGCTAAAACATGACTTTTGCAAGGAGTGAGTGAGTGAGTATAGTTTTACGCAACCTTTAGGAATATTCCAGCAATATCACGGCGGGGGACACCAGAAATGGGTTTCACACATTGAACCCATGTCGTGAATCGAACCCGGGTCTTCTGCGTGATGAGCGAACGCTTTAACCACTGGGCTACCCGATCGCCCCCTTTTGCCAGGATACTTGTGGAAGTCTTTCCGTTGTTGTAGATCTAACCCGACCGTCGACCACATAACACAGAAACTCCTATTGGTAAGTACAAAAAATGTGTACCCCTATATATAAGGTCTACCTCCATGGCACAGGACCTGTGCTTCATGGTTCCTGTGTATAATAAAGCGTTTAAAGTACAGCTACCCATGTCTATACCGAAATCAACAAGAATATGCTCGACCACACAGCCGCATTTACCATGTCTACATACCACAAAGAAAATGATCCGAACAAACTCGAATCTGGTCCAAAGTTTTCTGCGTCAAATCGGACCGGTTAATGGCTGCCAACCAAAGTCTTCTTCGTTTGTTGCTCTTCGTTTCTGTCACTTTGCCTTGATGTTTGATAAGCCGTGGTAGTCTGTAGAAGATCTTTTTATCTCTATCCGATCTGCTTTGACAATTCACAACAACGCAGGTGGTCGGCATCGCTTCGTTCCGGACGTTTCGTGTGCGATGCGAAGACTGCCTACCAATATGACCACCCGCTAAGAACTGTGGGTAATCTCATAAGTATCGAAGCCCTCTCCCGAAACCGCTGCGGGGTCGTTCTCACGGGAAATTTATGTTGCACGCCCGTCCATCCTATCTGGCAAGACGTATATAGAAAATAAGGAAATACAATCCTTGTCCTAGGTATATTGTTCAACATGAACCAGGATCTATACCAAAACGTCGCCATTACAGTAAAGTAAAGAAGTTGTTATCCTTAAATTATGTCTACTTTGTCATCCATCAACTTCCGTTCCCATGAAGATCCGGGGTAGAATAAGTCTTCAGCAATCCATTCTTGCCGTAAAAGGCGACTATATGCTTGTCGTAAAAGGCGACTAACGGGATCGAGTGGTCAGGCTAGCTGACTTGGTTGATGCATGTCATCGATCCCATTTGCGTGGATCGATGCTCATGATATCAGTCACTGGAATGTCTGGTTTAGACTCGATTATTTTCAGACCGCCGTCATATAGCTGGAATATTGCTGAGTTAAACAACAAACAACCAACCAACCATCAACTTCCGAGAAATGCCTCAATTCAAGATTTAACTCCCAGTACTTGACGGTACATTACAGGTGCACGCACATTGTTCTCTTGGAATGGCACCTCCGATCAACAAGCTGACTGGCAAAGTGGCATTGATGTCTTAGCTTTAATGTACAAGGGGTTGACCTTTTGATAATCTGGTGTGAGTGAGCGAGTAGGGTATAACGCTGCTTTGAACTGTAGGTCACGGCGTATCAGCTAATGTGGAAGGAAAGTCAGTGAGTGAGTATGGTTTTACGCCGCTTTTAGCAATATTCAAGCAATAGCACGGCGGGGGACACCAGAAATGGGCTTCACGCATTGTACCCATGTCGGGAATCGGACCCGGATCTTCGGCGTGACGAGCGAACGCTTTAACCACTAGGCTACCCGACCGCCCCTCAAGTATGATAGAAAATAAACAGCTAAAACATGACTTTTGCAAGGAGTGAGTGAGTATGGTTTTACGCAACCTTTAGGAATATTCCAGCAATATCACGGTGGGGGACACCAGAAATGGGTTTCACACATTGTACCCATGTCGGGAATCGAACCCGGGTCTTCGGCGTGACGAACGAACGCTTTAACCACTGGACTACCCGACCGCCCCTTTTTGAAACGATACTTGTGGAAGTCCTTCCGTTGTTGTAAATCTAACCCGACCGTCGACCACATAACACGAGCGAACGCTTTATCCATTAGGCTACCCGACCGCCCCTGTGGAAGGAAAGTCTGAAGTGACGTTTACATTTTTGGTGAAACCCACGAGCACGGGCGTGGTGCTGACTAATCAAGAAAGAATCTGGTTGAACTGGGATTCGAACCCAGACGTTCCTGCTCCGTCACCGTTTGCTTCTTCCTTCAATCGTACATACAAAAGATCGCTTTGCAAATTTATACAGAATACAATATATTGCCATCATCAGAATACGTTCATGAAACAACACGCCATGCATAATACACAGTATTTCTTGAGTAAACCCCCTTTGTGTTTCCGCAACTCCATTCGGAATATTTAAATCGTGTGTCATGACACCTCTTCTTCTGAAGTCGTCCAAAAAAGACGTGGATCTTATGACTCTGTCATGATATATGTTATTCGTGACACATTCGAATCATACGACACAATCCTGAATTTCACTTCACATGGAGAAATAGAAACATGATATTATGTACCATTACAGTACACAGGTACAAACTTAAATTATCACATAATATCTGGAGCTTCACAATGTTCACTGACTAATATCAGTCCCTCAGTCTCTAATTGGCAAACCATTCGCTTCACCCCAACCACTTGTTCCGACACGGGGACTCGACGAGGCCCCTCACTCACAGCTCCTTCGAATCAGCATCAACAACAAGCGGCACCAACTTCATTTTGCTGGCGACGTCGTTCAGGTGATCGATCACTTTGTCCAGGTAGATGATATCCTTTATCTGTTCATTATGTTTGGAAATTGTCTTTTTAAGTTCAACGTTACCACGGTTTAGCTTCGTACATCTCTCCTGCATCCGGGAACAGTCCTTGTTGAGGTCTACACAGCTCTGGATTAGATCATTAGTCTCTTGCTTCATCTTGGCAAGTTTTTCCAAACATTTTTCAGCCTTAGCGAACTCTTCCTCGGCGATGTTCTGATAATAGTTCAAGACAAACGTTTCTGCCATTGTCCCCCTTCGATCGATGTTAGAGCACGAGGCCATGATTATGTGTGGTAAAGTTACTATGTAAAACCATACAATCGTTATTCCGGATGTTTAGAGTGACGTCATTGTATCATGACGTCATGAACAATGTCCGAAATATGAAATGACTGTTCTGGCGTGTATGGTTAGAAACGGAATTGATAAGGATTTGAATTGTCTGTCATAAACAAAAAATGTATTTTCTTACTGAATGATCTTCACGATGTTACTGTAACAGTCATCGTTTTTTAAGGAGACCGAAAATAGGTCCTGCATAACGTCGTATTTCACTTGAGTGAGATATCAATTATATTTTTTGAGATAAGTACGGTATTTCATCACATAATAGGTTAGGTGAAATTGCCGACTTTATAGTACTAGCCCACTGAGATACCATGCCGCAGTTTAACGTGAATATCTCACTCAGACCCAGTATACTGAGCTGATCCGAGCTGACCAGTGCTTGTTTTAGTCTCGTAATGCCGCGCGCCAGACAGGGTAACCACAAGTACCATTTTTAAACATCTCGTGGCACCACGGAGGCGGTCTCATCACGTACTAAATAGCCTTATTCTGAGGTGTGCTCATATAGCAAGAATAACAGATAGCTCTACTTTGTGAGTGAGTGAGTTGGACGCTGCCTTGAAAAGTACAGTTATATCAGCTTGGTGTGTGTGTGTGTGTGTGTGTGTGTGTGTGAGAGAGAGAGAGAGAGAGAGAGAGAGAGAGAGAACAATCCACGCCGTGAGGATACGTTCGCACGCAGTCAACCAAGTCACCGAACCTTACCACCTGATCCGTTCATTCACCTTTTACGACAAGCATAGGTTGTTTGGGACTACATCTAACCCGGAATCACCGCAGGTTCCCCAAATAGTCACCTGTTTCGTATTAGGGCTATGAGGTGCCGGAGACACGTTCTTCACGAGGTCCCAAGGGCGAACCGCCGTCATATAGCTGGAACATTGCTGAGTGCGGCGTTAAACAACAAACCAACCAACCAACCAACCCAAGGGCGAAGGCGCCTTTAGATGACTGGACCACTCATGTCCCCACAATGTGTTGTTTGTTGAACGCTGCTCTCAGCAATATTCCATGTATATGACGGCGGCCTGAAAATAATGTAGAGTGAGTGAGTGAGTGAGTATGGTTTTACGCCGCTTTTAGCAATATTCCAGCAATATCAAGGCGGGGGACACCAGAAATGGGCTTCACACATTGTACCCATGTCGGGAATCGAACCCGGGTCTTCGGCGTGACGAGCCAACGCTTTAACCACTAGGCTACCCGACCGCCCCGAAAATAATGTAGATAATCCAGAGATTGAATGAACATCCCTCTACCCAACTGACATACAATAACACGTATCAACCAAGTCCGGCAGCCTGACCACCGGATTGGTTAACTGCCTCTTAGGACAAGCATGGTTTGCTGACGACTATTCTAACCTGGATCTTGACAGATTCCCTCAATGTAAGGTATTGTCAACATAACCGTATTTATGTGAGTAATATAGTGTTTAACTGCCAATGCCGGCATGTATCTATATTGTGGATTTGGTGGTCAAAATGGCAAACTTGAATAACTATTAAGTGGACGACCACCTGGAATTGGCACGTGTTGAGCGTTCCTCACACTATCGACCACCATGCCATGCCCACTGATCCAGCATATGGGTGAGTGAGTGAGTATGTTTTACTCCGCTTTTAGCAATATTCCAGCAATATCACGGTGGGGGACATCAGAAATGGGCTTCACACATTGTACCCATGTCAGGAATCGAACCGGGTCGGCGGATCCAGCATATACCCCAGACCTAATACTATTGTGTAATGTTGCCAAAATACTGTAATAATATAATACATGCTCTTCCATTGTCCATTGTGTTGTTGTCTGTGTTGAATACAACAAAATGCTTCAAAATTGTTAAAATTTGGTGTTTTGTTTATTTGTTGTTCAACGTGAAACTCAGTGACTAAAAATGAGCAAATCAGGACTAGGCAAACCAGTGATTGATGTTATGAGCAACGTCCTATGCTATTGGGTATGATGATACACAATCAACCTGAATCGTGGAGTCTGAAACAAAACCATTAAGTTGCTTCTCCAGACAAGCATAGGTTGCATGGAACCAATTCTAATCCTGAATCCCAACAATGATATTGTGTCATACACAATCACCTCAAGAAATAAAAAAAGTCACAAACAGAAGAAAGTTGATTTTTTTCTCAAACTAAGTCCTTATTCTAGCATGTTGTGAGAGTGACCGAGTGAGTGAGTGAGTGAGTGAGTGAAAGCTGTTTTATGCCAGTCATCAGCATTTCAGCTTCATCTTGGTGGCCTGTAATTAATCAAGTTTAGGCAAGGCAAACCAGCTGTTGACAACTTATCCATGTCTTGATGACAGCCATCACTTGCTTGATAACGGTGTTAGAACCTACACCGAAACGTCACTGCTAATTGTAATAAAGAAGTTGTTCATCCTTAAATCTTATCCTTACTTAGTACTCCAACTTCTAAATGCCTCTCAAAGGAATTGTTCTTGTGCCCTGTCTAGCACTCGGTGTTAAGGGGACGAAACAAGGACTTGTCGGCTTGGGGTCAGTGTACTGTCTCTGAGTGGGATATCCATGTTAAACTGGGGTATGGTATCTCAGTGGGCTGGCACATCAAAGCAGGCCAGACTAGTACAAACAGCCAGCCACCTCCACCCACACCTTTGACTACTGGTGACCCATCTACTCTGCCCCAGAAATACCACAGGGCTCCAGCATTTTGACGAAATAATAACTCAAAACTATCAAAAACAAAGCACAAACATTTAATGTCCTTCATCACAACCAATGTCCACCTCTCACACGGATTCCATTTTCATCTTCTCTTGTACAGTGAGTGAGTGAGTTGTGTTTAACACTGCTTTTAACACTATTCCAGTTATAGCACGGCTGTCAGCTTAATGTGGGAGGAAAGCCCGAAGTGATGCAGGTCTCAGATGTTTACCACTTTGGTGAAACCCACGAGCATGGGTATGGTGCTGACAAACCTAGAAACTAATCAGGGCAAATCGGGATTTGAACCCACAATCATAGGTTGCTGGCGTGCCCAAGGGACACAACTCTGCACAGCGAATTGCGGCGCCTTAGATGACTGGGTCACCTGTGCCCCCTCTCTTGAAAATGAGTGATAGGCACAAATATTCACGGCATATAACAGGGTTTTATGCAATGCACAAATGTAGAGAACAGATGCAGAAACAAATCTGTTGCATCTCAAGGGATGCACAATAACATTCCCTGTACTTACAAAGCATCAAGAGTAGTTATGGGTGTCTGTTATTTCACTCATCAATCATGACCACTGTCCACATGATTCATTCCAGGCTCTAAGTAAGTATCTCACTGTACTGTACACTACACCATTTCAATACTTCACAGGACCCTCATATTGCCTGCAAGGACTCTTAAAATGTATTATTTTGGGTCCTCTGAACCTCACTTTTGTAAGTCAAGGTTAAACCCTGATATAGCCAATGCAACATACATAGCACATTTATATTACTTAGAGATTAACCTATTAACAAGGAGTTACAGATAGTTGGTCCTGAGGGAATTAATTTTCTAAGTTCCAAGCCTTGGTGAATGACTTTCAACATTATTTCACCTGAGGCATAATCCGTAACTCTGTGATGCAAGTAGGTTATTCTTGATATTACCCATAGTGTTTTTTAAGAAAACAGCAGAACAATGAGGGCTTCCTGATCACAAATGAAGACACCAGCTCAGTCACTCTATTGTTGGAAATCGTCACACGTTGCCATGACGTCAGGAATAATCGATGATGTCATTTTAGAATAATTGCGACAATGCGAACAATGGTTATAATGCTCAGCACGAATAACTGAAAATTAATCACCTTTGTCTGTTCTCTTATTGATAATAGGAACAACTTGTGATACTGATTGTTTTGACCGATAACCAGGGATCCAGCATTGTGTGGTCATATAGTTCTTTGGTTGACGCCCATTTCTGGTGTCCCCCGCTGTGATCTTGCTGGAATATTGCTAAAAGCGTCGTAAAACCATATTCATTCAATCGCTCTTTGATTGACATAGAACTTGGGTAAAGAAATAACAAGCATCTCATGGTTCTAGCTTCTGTACTGAGACATCACAACAATGTAAACAAAGAAGTTGCCATCCATACAATTTCTTGCTGTTGACTGAAAGTCTAGCATCTCTCAAAATGGCAGCGACTGACCATGCTGATTCTGACATCGCAATATTTAAGTAGGTAGAAAATAGAATCAGCATGTACAATCAGTGTCAATCACTGACAAACACTTTAGCTCCCAGTATATCGCAATACATATTACAATCCAGATACCTGATACAGATACAAATATTTACATACATAGCCTGACGCTTGATTTGTTGGTCCCTACTACAGTCTCTGCTACACATTACAAGGATGTACAGGGGCAGTCAGGTAGCCTAGTGGTTAAAGCGTTTGCTTGTCACGCCGGAGACCCGGGTCCCGACATGGGTTCAATGTGTGAAGTCCCCCGCCGTGATATTGCTGGAATATTGCTAAAAGCGGCGTAAAACCATACTCACTCACCCACTACAAGTACGTACATGACTCTTAGCATCTTTTTCAGTACATTTTAGTTTAATGTGGACTAATGCCAGGTGAGTTTACTGGGACAATCAGCATTTACTAGACTCAGGCTTCAGACTGGGGGCTAAAGTCACAGACTGCCGTTACCTGACCCTGTATTGATGAGTGCTAGCAGCATCTCACAACAAACATTTAGGACAAGCAAGGGTTGTGGGCTTAGCACCACTTTTAGTATTTCTGTAACATTTCTGTTGTAACATGGGTACAATGTGTGAAGCCCATTTGTGGTGTCCCCCGCTGGGATATTGCTGGAATATTGCTAAAAGCGGCGTAAAACCATACTCACTCACTCACACATTGTTGTAAGGGTTAATTGAGGTAAGGGACATAACTCTGTAAATCAAGCTGAAAGTCATTGGAGTAATGGGATTATAGATTTGTTTCACATTTTAAAATATATGTATGATTTTTTTGTAACAAAAATTGAATAGATTTTCAAAACCTAACGACTTTTTTTCAAACAGCAAATAATTAACAAGTACCAAACACAGTACTGATATCTTTGCAACATATCTGATGAATAAATCTAGAACTTGACAATGAATGCTTGTTTGTTGTTTAACGCCACAATCAGCAATATTCCACCAAAATGACGGGGGTCTGTAAACAATCAAGTCTGCACCAGACAATCCAGTGATTGATGGCATGAGCATCGATCCACGCCATTGGGATATGAACACATGCATCAACCTAGTCAGCGAGTCTGATAACCCAATCCCACTAGTCGCTTCTTACGACAAGAACAGTTGCTTCTTACAGCAAGCATGGTTTGCTGAAGACCTATTCTAACCCGGCTCTTCATGGGTGACAATGAATGATGACAAATGTCATCACCGATGATGTCAGATGTCATCAAGGTGATGTTTCCTCCACATGTGATGTCTCAAACTGGGTTTCTGAGTGTACGATGTTCCACAGATTGTACAGGCAAACGTCCCATCATGCATTCTCTTATGAGCCTTCAAACCGGACTTCAACTTAAACGATTTTCCACAACTGTCACAAGAAAATGGCCTGTCTTCATTATGAGTCCCGATATGTTCCTTCAAATGCGATGAATATTTAAACGACTTACAGCAGATGCTGCACATATAAGGGGCATCGTTAGAATGTGTTTTCTGGTGACGATTTAATTCTCCTTTAAACAGAAATGTCTTGGCACATTTATCGCAGGAGTGCGATTTGATCTCAGTGTGTTTCCTCATGTGCTTACTTAAAGAGTTTGATCCAGAATAGCATTTCCCACACACAAAACACACAAAAGGTTTTTCCCCATTTTCTGGCCTCACATGACCGTTAGCTGGTGGCGTTTTCAAAGCGTCCAATCTAGAATGAATGATATAGTGTTTCTGAAGTAAAGACAGGTCTGTGAATGTTGTGAAACATACTTCACACTGATACGGTCTCGGACTGTAGTGGATCTTCATGTGTCTTGTTAACGTTGATCTGCAATCAAATTCCTGGCAGCAGACACCACATTCAAACGGTTTCCCTGAGACTGTCCCAAAGTCTGGAGCTTTTGACCTTGACCTGCATCTATTTTCAATGTGGGAATCAATTTCATCTTCAGTGTCTGAACCTTCGAAGAATATGTCATCTGTACTTCTCTTGTCATTCCCATCAACCTCAGAATCATCTGAATCACTGCAAGGTAAATCTTCGGTACTGGTCATTTTGTCACTGACACAAGCACTGGAACTTTCCATGTCTCCGATGGCATCTCCCCCAAGGCCTGATGCTGCCATACTGCAGAAAGGCAAATGCATGTGGTATCTGACTGTTAGTCATTCTGGAAGAAAACATCAAAGTTATCATCAGAATTTAAAGCCTATTGCAAGTCTCCTGGACTTGTAGACAACAGTTTGAAATGTCAACAAATTTAGCCACTTAAGAAATGTTACTGTCAGCACTGATATACAATCTATCTACCTAAAGTCAGTCAACCCAAACTCTAAAAGTCCTAAAGATTTCAACAAAATATACATTTAAAATATTGCCAAAAACGAACACGTGTTGAGTCCTATTACTAAATACCAAATCTCATTACATTTGAAAAAAATAAATATTTGGGAGTAGTGCATTTTACAGTGCACACTTTTTTTATATTTCAAATAGTAGAGGATCTAGCACACATTGGCAGCTTGAAGTATAGCTTGATTAATAAGATAATGAAATTAACCAACCTACCATGGGCGCTATCACAAATAATTAGTGTTCGTCTACCAAGTGATCAGCACCCAATTGTTTCCCATAACGCATATGGACAGTAGACATTTTCTTCTCGAAACTCAAAACTTGGTAAAAGATGTCCTGATTTTCCTCAAATTACATGGGAATAATTTGTTAAAAGAAAAATAGCAAACTCATACCCTTCCTCACAACTAACCGTAAGGATTGTAAACAGGTGCCCAACTCTAAGGATCATGAAAGGACTTTTCATCGGAGTTAGGGGTAACCTACCATAACACAACCGACCCTTAGGATCTAGGAGGCCTGCCAGATCTGTGAATGGAGAGACACAGCCAGCGGCCTGGCTGAGCCAATTAGCGCTATATAAACTGCGTCAGGTAAACTGCATTGTTGTCAAATAGTTCAGTAATGACACTAAATAGGGTTTTCAATAAAGCTGTTAATGGTTGAAATCTATGGCATGTGGGTACCCTTGACTAACATGTGTTGTTTTGTGTGTTTGTTGTTTTACACCACAGTCAACAGTATAGACTAACATATAGTCTCTGAAATGAACATATCATACAGAAAAAAACAGTTGTTCAGTTATCTTAATAAAAATCTAATAAAAAGGGAGCCCAGTGATTCTCTTCATTTTCAGAGACTAAACAAATCTGCAGTGCTATAATTTCTTGGAATTTTACGACACATGTAAAGGATCCTATCACCCATCACTGGCATGCCATTGAAAGTGTGTGTGACAGGAAATTTTATTGCCCCTACCACATCTCCCCAAACACACACCCCACACCCCTGATACTGCAGTAATCTAGACTTGCCAAACATTATAGACTTGCATGGGCTGTAGTTGATATAAATGTATCAGGGTCTGTAAGACAGACTATCAACAGTATGAAAGCTATATTGTGTCTGCTCATAAATAATCTACTGAAATCAATGTCCCATAATGTCTTGGTATGAACATGCAATATAACAACTCACCAAAGCTTGACCATCCGATCACCTCTCGTGACAAACAGATCAGTCTCCACAGGGCCTCAACTCACAGGCCCCTGAAACAAAATAGGGATTTTGGTTAAACCCATATCATATATTGAAACAGGTACTTCATTTGCAATCAAACATAACATATTCAGTATTACAAAACACAAACATCATTTGAATCTAATTTATGACACAAACACTCTGTCAGTTGGGTTTAATGAGGCTTTGAATAGTTTTTCAGTTATTCTGGTGTCTTGGACGACTTTGCCAACTTAAACACTCCATACCAAATGCAGCAGAGATTTACCTACCCAAAATAGTGACAACATAAGGACACCCGCTAAGAAGCCTCAAAAAGCCTTTATCCCTTAGAATTATCATCAGCTGAAATGCAAATTTCTATGGCTGAAATAAAATGTATCATACAATAAATGCATTTAACATTATTTAATGCAGGGCGTTTGTTTACATACCTGATCTACAGTCGCGACTGAGTCTCAGCATTTTTACAAGGAGATATTTACTGGATGTGATAGATTGGAACAGGCAGATATTTCCTACATCTATATTACACTGAAGATGAACATAAAATAGACGTGTCAAGTTCGGCATCAAATGGCAATCAATGATTGTCATTATTCACGGACTGTTAACTTTCATTCACTAATTCATGCGTTTCAACACAAACAACTGTATGTCATCGTCAATTGCCCTGCTAGAACGTACAACATATTTATAAAATATGTTGAATGTTGATCCATGCAAGCTAAGTACTTTTACTTGGCTAAAATACTGACATTCCATGGGTTCTCAGGCAAAGAACACGACAGACATGATTTCACAGCTTGCGAAAGATCTTGACAGTGGCACAGGTCAACAATAAAACTATCAGTTGGCAAATACCAACAGCAGAGTTCCACTGAATATTCTCATTCAAAAGCCATAACACACCAGAGAGTTTGAGCGAAAACTACCTACCCCACGAAACGGAAGGTGTGATATGTCCGCCATCGGTATTAGAGAGCGAGCATAAAGGGCAATAACTCTTTTTATTTTCTTGCGCCCAATGATCTCAAACATTGACAATTTTTAAAGATATGACTTTATATCTTTCCAATCAATTAAACTACAGGATGAAATAGTTTTATGATGAGGTTAACAATAACAACTAGTCCCTAACATGTTTGACCTCATATGCAGTTTCTCGTTGAATCACGTTGCTGGAAAATAGATCTATAAATAAACTTCTGGGGAAAACCCGTAAACGGGTAGATTCGTGGAAAATGTTGTACATTCTGACAAATGAAAGAAGGCTCGTAGCTCGAGTCCAGATAACCGAATTGCACAACCGACGCTAAATATAGTTTGTTTTTGTATTATGCATATACTGACGCTGATATCTGGTGGGCCTGCACGTAAGCCAATTCTCTAATATGAATCCTGCCTTCACATGGTCAAGCAAAGCTTGAGGTACGTTATTATAAATCTAGTAGATGTATAGTATATAATATATATGTATATGTATATATATAAACCAATGTATAGTATGTTGTATGGTGTAGACACCTCCCATCCCACCACCTCCCCCACTGAGAGGAGCTTTTGATATTTTAGACCATAATCTGATGGTATCTACTCCACAGTGGTACAACATCAAATTTCAAAACACAGTAGGTTTATCTCCTAAATAATGGATACATTGGGATCACATTACAACCGGTAGTTAGTGAAGTATGACAGTATATGTTATGATCGCCCACGATCTTAAAGGGTGATAGGGGTGAGATGGGAAATTTCAAAGTTGACGTTTTTGGATCATCAGTGTGCAAGACCGCCACCATTTGTCAAACATCCAATCACTCGATGAGGCATACTGCATACTGTCTCCCAATGGCGATTCCAGGGAGTCTGCTCGACTACACTGGCGGGCGCCTGGCCAAGTTCAGCATACGTGGTCGGCCGCCTATGACTATGACTCACCCGTCTCCCTTTCATGGTTCATGTCCCACACGTGTTCACGGGGGGGGGGGGGGGGGAAGGTCTGGCTTGTTGATGTCAATGGCATTCTCTGGATGTTGTGCTGCTGGAAGTGAGAATTGACGATTCGTGCACTGCGACGTTTATTTCGACGCAAGACACGACCACGCCTATTAAAAAAGTGCAATGTGAATCGGGACTCATCCGAAAACATGACACGTGACCCACGACGATTACCCCAGTTTCAACGTTGTGTACGCCGTTGATGTATGGAAAAATGGCAGTTTGACTGTTTGCCCAATACGTGGCCATTGAAGGTGGAGATGTGCTGCTAATCGTCTGAACAGTAACTCGTAATCCAGTAGCCTGAGGAAATTTTCAGCAATTTGATTTGCCATTTGAGCTCGATGTGTTCATTTCAACACATGCATGTTTGGGACTTATGACAACAATAAATGTATATGTAATTTTTGTACCAAAAACGGCTGAAATTTGAACACGAGCAACTGCAGCTGCTTTACACAAAATGGTTTTCTTTAGAGGTGTTGGTACTCTTTACCTATATCTAATACGTATGGTTGAGAAATTCACATTGTTTCACAATCTCATTAAGATCAGATGTTTACTCCGATATCACTTTGGCATAAGATCTTAGGACACCTCCTTAGGCCGCCTCGTCAGGTGAAGTATATAGCCGCGCTATACTGTGTCTATTTCATACATCCAGTCGTTTCTGAGCGCCATGGCATCTACATCCAAAAGGTTGTACAATACAGGGTATGTTTGTAATCCTTTAAGAAGCTAACATTTGACTGACACAAGAACCAACGCGTCCTACATTTAGGCTCGCCAAGGTTGTCCTGACGCGACCTGCTGTGGGGTTACTGTCCCCCCAGAGCGTCACCCAGGGAGGTATCTTATCAGAGTAAGGGGCAAAGGACCGACTGTATTGTCTGTCTGATGGCATAGGACGAGGCCTTTTTTTTCGAGTCCAATTCCGGGATTGTGATATTCCCGACGTCCATCATGCGGATACCAGTTGCCCTTGATAAGTAGACTCGAGTTGAAGAGGCCACTGTTTCCAGATCCAGTTAAAGGGGAAGTGTACACGCAAAAATCACTTTCTTTCTTTTTCTAAACAAAACGCAATTTTAGAATTAATTAGTATCTGTGTTTGAAAATATACACTCATTTTATTCACAGTGAACGTAGGAAGCTCACAATAGTGTGAAAATGATATGCCGTTATGAGGCCTTCGTTTTTCTAGCTAAACAGGCCTGAGTTAACAACATGGCCTACGACACACTCCGGCGCAGTGGTGACTCAGCATAACACTATGCTGGCTGGCATCTGAGACGCTAGAATCACACACCTGGACCTACACCACGTGAAGCGGCTCTAACAAAGCAGGATGACGTCATAATGTTTATCAATTGGCACCAATGACGTCATATTGCAAGGGGCATAAGCCATGGTGTTTTTGTTGTGGAAATAGAACACTTGGTAAATGTGAAAAATATAAATCGTTTTAATGCGAAAAATATGTTAATTAATTGTGATATTTTTATATTTTTGTCTATGACACTTCTATGTTAACACTTTTAATGTGGAAAAAGTGCAAGAAAAATAGGTTCATTTCCGTGTGAACTTGCCCTTTAACTACCGTTATGGCGAACTCAAAGGGACCCTAATTTTAGTTCGTTATAACCGTAGCTCGGTATAAGCACATGTAGCATATATACAGCAAATGGCCGGGACCCCCATAAAGGTCGCTATAAGAGTGTTCGTTATAAGCGTAGTTTAATGTACAATTGCGAGGAGACAGTAGCTGACAAGGTAATAACATGATGTGTTATAAATGTTATAGTTTGTGTGAAAGTTGCCACTACTGTAAAATCTAAGACAATGATATTTTACGCTTCAGGATCCTCTCCTTAATATCCCTGTCACAATATATACGAGGGCTGACTGATAAGTACTGAGCCTCACACGGGGGCCACGGGTGGTCCAGTCGTCGAAGGAGTTGCGTCCCATGTTTGCACGCCAGAAACCTATCGAATCTCGGCTCTTCCTGATTATGTTTCATGGTTTGTCAGCACCATACCCGTGCTCGTGGGTTTCACCAAAGTTGTAAAGGTGTGAGACCTTCATCACTTCAGACTTTCCTCCCACATTAGGCTGACACTCTGTGATATAACTGGAATACTGTTCATATTGGTGTAAAAACAAACTCACACACTAACTGAGATTCACGCAGAAAGACTTGACCTAAACGCATTAATATGATTTATTTTTCAACATAATCCCCTTCCACATTGATACAATTTTGTCATATACCAGTTTCGTAAAAGTCCTATTCTTGGCTGTTCGCCACCGCTGCCATGACGTCATCTAATGTTTGGGAACAGATGGAAGTATGAAGGAGCATGACCAGGAGAGAAGTGGGTGCTGAAAGAGTTCAAAGCCACACTCTTGGACTGTAGCCAAAGTTCAAAGCAACACTCGTGGATTGTAGCCAAAGTTCAAAGCCACACTCGTGGATTGTAGCTAAAGTTCAAAGCCACACTCGTGGACTATGGCCAAAGTTCAAAGCCACACTCGTGGACTGTAGCCAAAGTTCAAGGCAACACTCTTGGAGGCAAGCCAAAGTTCAAAGACACACTCGTGGATTGTAGCTAAAGTAAAAGGCCACACTCGTGGATTGTAGCCAAAGTTCAAAGCCACACTCGTGGACTGTAGCCAAAGTTCAAAGCCACACTCGTGGAGGGAAGCCAAAGTTGAAAGCCACCCTCGTTGAGGGAAGCCAAAGTTCAAAGCCACACTCGTGGGTTGTAGCCAAAGTTCAAAGCCACACTCGTAGAGGGAAGCCAAAGTTCAAAGTCACACTCGTGGAGGGAAGCCAAAGTTCAAAGCCTCACTCGTGGAGGGAAGCCAAAGTTGAAAGCCACACTCGTTGAGGGAAGCCAAAGTTGAAAGCCACACTCGTGGGTTGTAGTTAAAGTAAAAGGCCACACTCGTGGATTGTAGCCAAAGTTCAAAGCCTCACTCCTGGACTGTAGCCAAAGTTCAAAGCCACACTCGTTGAGGGAAGCCAAAGTTCAAAGCCACACTCGTAGAGGGAAGCCAAAGTTCAAAGCTACACTCGTGGAGGGAAGCCAAAGTTCAAAGCCACACTCGTGGATTGTAGTTAAAGTTCAAAGCCACACTCGTGGTGGGAAGCCAAAGTTCAAAGCCTCACTCCTGGACTGTAGCCAAAGTTCAAAGCAACACTCGTGGATTGTAGCTAAAGTACAAAGACACACTCGTGGAGGGAAGCCAAAGTTCAAAGCCTCACTCCTGGACTGTAGCCAAAGTTCAAAGCCACACTCGTGGATTGTAGCAAAAGTACAAAGACACACTCTTGGAGGGAAGCCAAAGTTCAAAGCCACACTCGTGGATTGTAGCTAAAGTACAAGGCCACACTCGTGGATTGTAGCCAAAGTTCAAAGCCACACTCGTGGAGGGAAGCCAAAGTTCAAAGTCACACTCGTGGAGGGAAGCCAAAGTTCAAAGTCACACTCGTGGAGGGAAGCCAAAGTTCAAAGCCACACTCGTGGAGGGAAGCCAAAGTTAAAAGCCACACTCGTTGAGGGAAGCCAAAGTTCAAAGCCACACTCGTAGAGGGAAGCCAAAGTTCAAAGTCACACTCGTGGAGGGAAGCCAAAGTTCAAAGCTACACTCGTGGAGGGAAGCCAAAGTTCAAAGCCTCACTCGTTGAGGGAAGCCAAAGTTCAAAGCCACACTCGTTGAGGGAAGCCAAAGTTCAAAGCCACACTCGTGGGTTGTAGTTAAAGTAAAAGGCCACACTCGTGGATTGTAGCTTAAGAACAAGGCCACACTAGTGGATGGTAGCCAAAGTTCAAAGCCACCATACTCGTGGATTGTAGCCAAAGTTCAAAGTCACACTCGTGGGTTGTAGTTAAAGTAAAAGGCCACACTCGTGGATTGTAGCCAAAGTTCAAAGCCACACTCGTGGACTGTAGCCAAAGTTCAAAGCCACACTCGTTGAGGGAAGCCAAAGTTCAAAGCTACACTCGTAGAGGGAAGCAAAAGTTCAAAGCTACGCTCGTGGAGGGAAGCCAAAGTTCAAAGCCTCACTCGTGGGTTGTAGTTAAAGTTCAAAGCCACCACACTCGTGGATTGTAGCCAAAGTTCAAAGCCACACTCGTGGGTTGTAGTTAAAGTAAAAGGCCACACTCGTGGATTGTAGCCAAAGTTCAAAGCCACACTCGTTGAGGAAAGCCAAAGATCAAAGCTACACTCGTACAGGGAAGCCAAAGTTCAAAGTCACACTCGTGGAGGGAAGCCAAAGTTCAAAGCCACACTCGTTGAGGGAAGCCAAAGTTCAAAGCCACACTCGTGGGTTGTAGTTAAAGTAAAAGGCCACACTCGTGGATTGTAGCCAAAGTTCAAAGCCACACTCGTGGACTGTAGCCAAAGTTCAAAGCCACACT